TTGCCCATTCTGTCACACAGCAGAATTCTGGGTTTAAGTGCACAGCTGCTAAGAAACTGCCAGGTGTAGAGCTAGGTACCGAGTAGACAGAGGTGAGGGGGAGACAAAAACCCTCCCCTAAGAAAATCCCGGCTCCCTGCCTCAGCCCTGGGGACTCATGCTGCCACTCAGGCCTGCGTCCCTTCTGAGCTTGCAGGGTTCTAGGTAAGCGCTGTCCAGCGGGCCGCGACTGCACACTCTGCTGCTGTTTGTTTTTGGCTGTTTGCTTGGCTCTCCCGGAACACAGCACGTTCTGTTTTTCCATAATGGTCCCAGCATTCAGGGCAGGAGCTTATAACGTTTTTGGTGCTGGGGACCCCTTTGAAAGAATGGTGAAACCTATGAGCCATCTCTCAGAATGATGTATTTCAAATGCAAAATCCTAGTTTTAACCCCTAACTTAAATTCTTCCCCACTGAGTGCAGCAGATCTGTGTTCAAATCTCACCTATTGCCACTAACTAGCTGCATAGCCTTGGGCAGATCACCTAACCTCTCTGAACCCACCCAACCCATCTTCTCATCTATAAAATGGGACACGTTCCCCACAGGTACTAGATGAAGTGCCTACGGTGCAGCACATAGGAGGTTGGCAGGCATTCACTCTCCTCCAGCCCAGGCTTTGCCGTTGCCACTGACAAGGAGAAGTTCGATGGATCTGTGTTCTCCCTCCTCTCCTCAGTCGCTCATGGAGGAAATGACCCCAAATCACAGTGCTGGATGGTTCCCACAGGCCCCTGACCAAATGATGACAGACCAGGGCAAAAGTAAATAGCTCCCTCATGCAAAGGGAGAGGGCAGAGGCAGTGGTGAGAACAGAGTGGCCAGCCCCAGGGACGAGGCTGCAGGGAAGCCAGACTGGCCGGGAGCTCAGCCAGCTCCTTCTCCCTCCCCACCTCCTCCCTTCTCCCCTTTCCCCCAACCCCCCCCCACCCGTATTTCTGATCTGCCTCTGCCCAGGCGGCCTCTAAGTAAGAGGAGAGGGGTGCAGGGGCTGTGGCCATAAGGACCAGAGACCCCAGACCCCATCAAGGAGAATGCCAGAGTGATGGGTCAGTCCGCCTGTGGCCAGCAGTCTGGAGCCAGGACCGTCTCCTACAAGGAAAGGGATTGGCCTTTCACTCATCCTCTCAGCCAATATCCACTGAGCACCAGCTCTGGCCAGGTGCTGTGCTGATGCTTTACACACTTAATCATCTAACCTTCTCGAAGGCTCCATGCAGTCAGCGTCGTGAGCCTTGCTTGCAGAGGATGGCCTGGGGGCTCGGAGAGGCAGAGCAGCTCCCAGGGTCACACAACAGCATATGGTGGAGCCAGGACTTAAACCCACATCAGTCTGGTCCCAAAGGCTCTGCACTCTACGGCCTTCTCCCACACCATTCTGCCTGGCGTGAAGTCAGTCTGTCCAATGCGTGCAGCAGCCAGTCCGGAGCTGGGAGCCTGAACGAACCTGAGGGAACCGACTGCTCAGGTCAAAGGGGCTCTGAATCTGCCAAGTTCCACTCTGGCCCCTAGTAGTGGGCACGGCTGGAAAGGAAAGGGGGAGCCGCTCCAGGTCTCTGGGGGCTGCAGACCTGGGAGCCACCCCTTGAGGAGCTGAGGTTCAATTGTCTGGTTTCCTGCCAGAGAGGGGGTGGGAGGGCAGCCAGGGTCACCCCCTGAGTGAGGGCTCACAGCTCAGACCCCTGGCTACATCTCCTTGGTCTCTGGCCTCCCAGTCACTGCTTCATTCTCTGCCCGCCCCTGAGAGTTTGATGGGGACTTTCATGGGCTAGCATGGGGGGTGGCATCAGCAGAGGCGAAGCCCCAAGATGGCTCAACATGTCTGTCGAGTCTCTGACTCTGTGGCTGTAACACTCCAATACCAGGAGAAAATGATGTAGGTGTGTCGTAGCTAGAGTTGCGTCCAGTGCCTGAGACAAAAATTGGTGGAGGGGGTTTTCAGGGAAATAAGAAATAATACGCAATCGATCTTAGTTTGTGCCTGCAAACGATGGAGCCATGATTCAGGTACTTCTCGTGATGGCAACTTGAAATATATGCCAGCCCTGAGACAAATGTAAGATGAGGGAAAGGTGGTGGTGCCTATCGGGTAGAAGGGACTCTCATGTACAACTACATTATGTGCTGAACACTAGGTGCTTTTCTTATGACAGTTCCATTCCTCACGATAAAACTGCCAAAGAAGGGTTGCTATGCCCAGTTTGGAGCTGCAGACACTGAGGCTCAGAGAGGTTATGTAACTTGCCTGAGATCACACAGCTAGGAAGTGGTGTATGTGGGAAGCCAGTCCTAGCTGTCTGACTTGTGACCTTGACTTTTACTATAATGTTTTATATGGGTGACTCTGCCCCACACAAGATCTGCAGGGAAAAAAATACAGCCAATTCCTCAGTAGCTTACAGTCCCCCAGAACAGAATGGGGTCTCAGCCAGCATGCTGTGTGCTCTGCAGACACGGCTCAGCTCCTTTCTGTCCTTACTCTTGTCACATGACTGGTTGCTTAGTTTATGTGGCCCTGTCCTTACAAGTACCCAACAAGGTATGACACTGTCCTGAGGGGCCAATTCTATGTCCCCCAGTTAACTAAATCCAAATCAATTTAATTACAAATCCCATGATAAACCCAAACCAAACAGGAAGAAAATTCTAGTCTAAAGCTATATCCTGTGTCCTTATTATTAAATTAGAATTACCAGAAGCTCATAAAATCCTCAAACTGTAACATGAGAAACTGAAGGTAGACATAAGGAAGAACTTATGGAGAGTGCTTTTACACCCTAGACTGAGAGAAACAGAGAGAAGTGTTTCTTTCCCTGAAAATGGGAAAGATGTCCCCTTCCTACCTGGGCCAGAGGAAGGTGACTGAGCAAGGTGCCTCTACCTGGCAGCAGCAGCTAAAAGCTGGTCCCTCACTCCCCAGCCCCCCCCACACACAGCTTTTGCTATTGCCCTCTGTGACCCTTTGGCAGCCGTTCCCAAGCTTGTCCCAGAGGGATGAGCAGCTGACAGGGGTGTGGAACGGCGGTGAGAGTGTGTGTTTGCTTAGGGCTTTCTGGGTCGGGGAGGCAAGCCTCGCATTCAGCCCTGGGATTACGGGATCCTGAGGGCTTCTGCTGCTCTCAACCCCAAACCTGCTGCGTGGTGCAGGAGGGCGCTCCCGCCCTCCCTGGCCGTGTTGGCGCCCTCACCTCACTGGGTCAACCTCGACAGCCCCACCAGGCCTGAGTCACTCTGGGAGAGCCAGAGCCAGCATGGGGATCAGAGATTGTGCGGAAAAGGGCTGTCAGCATTTCGGGAAGCGGCCAGGGAGGGCGATGGGAGTAGGGGACTCCTGGGAACCAGGTGTGGGGGTCTGTGCCCAGGGCTTCCTCTTTCCCAGGGCCAGAGAGCAGCCTCTCCTGGGCCCCTATGGTGGGCCTGTGCAAGCAGGGGCTTCCCGAAGTGTTCTGGCAGCAAAACCATTCTTGCAAACAAGGTCACATGCGCAGCCCCGTGTGTGAAACAGACAAGGAGAGATGCTCCGGTTGGCGCTGAGGAGGGGCCATGAGCCTTCTCTGACCCCTGAGCCTTCTGCTGACCCCCTGAAAGCAGCCCCTGGGGTCCTCAGGCTCCAGGAACTCAGTGTGGAAACCCCTGGGTCTGGGCCGTTCCCATCCTTCAGCAAGTATTTCTGAGCAACACGTTGTTGTTAGTGGCTCCTCCTGGACTGTGATTGAATCTCTGAGTTCTATTCTATGACAATTAAAAGTGTCTCTATTGTTTAGTTTTTAAGACCTAAATATAATTTCAATAAAACTATTTTTTTTTACCCTGCCATTAGCTCACTGTGGCTTTTGGACAAGTTCTTCCCCTCTCTGAGCCCCCCCACTGCGAAGGTCACAGGCAAAGTAACGTATTCATAAACCACAGTATCCAATTAAGTGTGGATTTTTATTAACGACGGGGTATGGAGACTGAAAGAGAAATTGCCTGACTCCAAGAGGATGAGCTGGGAATCCTGAGCAAAGAGAAGGGAAGCAAAGAGGACCAATTATTGTGAGGCCACCATAAGCCATATGCTTTACCCACGTTCTTATCACAACCCTGCTTTTACAGAGGGTTAAGTAACTCAGAGAGGTTAAGTAACTTGCCCAAGGTCACACAGCTAGTAAGTGGCAGAACTGGGATTTAAACCCAAGTCTGCCTAGTTCCAGAGCCTAAGATCTCTCCACTGAGCAAGTCATGCTGCCTGACCCACAGAGTGACTGAGGTGGGGGCTAAATAGGCACCAGGGGGTGGGCTGGGTAGTAGGCAGCCACTCGGAGCTGGGCCCTGCCTGGGGCAGCTTCCATATTCACTCTGAGCCTCAGTCTCCTCCTGGGAACTCTGCACGAGCCCTACAGTGGGGATGGTATTGAGCTACCTGCTCAAGTTCGCATGGTGACTGGGACATAGTGTGTGGTTGCTGCTGCCTCAACCTTCGGGGCATTAATCAACTGACACAATTTCAGTTCCCAGGCAGGACAGACTGCAGCCACAGACAGCTGGCTGTAGTTGCCATTTATTGACTGAGACACATCACAGGCACAGACAGGGGCGGAGGATGTGGGTAGATTCAGGGAGGGGTAGGTCTGGTGGGGGACCAGGGAGGTTGAAGGGTCTTTGGGGACCGCTCCCGGCTTCCCTTTCTCCTCCCCCAGCCTGCCCTGAGCTCAGAGCAGACAGGCAGAGAAGGTGAGGGAAGCTGTGATGGCCTGGGGAATCCAGCCGCCTCTCAAGGGTCAAAAAGTAACCCCTAAATCACCCAAGCACATCACTCAAGTTGGTGACAGTCTTGAACTAAGGAAAAAACCTGAGCAGACCTGACCCCTTCCTAAAATACAAATTGTACGCAAATAGCCTGGTATGGAATACCCTGGATTCGTGGTCCCCTGGGCTGTTCCTGCTCCTAGGAAAGTGGGTGGGGAGGGCAGCAGAGGTGGGTGAGTGGGGCAGGGAGAGGACTGCAGGTGCCCCCTGTTTGCGGGGCTCAGCAGCTAGTATCTCCGGCTGGACGTCTTGACCGTGGTGGTCTTCCGCAGGATGGAGGTGCCCCCGGAGGCCGGCCCTCCCTTGACGGTGCTGTAGCCCACACTTGTGCCGAATCCGCCCTTGCTGGCCCCCCCACTCCCGCCCAGGGAGATGCCACCCCCAAAGCCAGCTGCGCCGCCTCCGCTCACAGTGGTGGAGTTGCCCATCACAGCTGCAAGGAAAAGGGCCCACATTAGTCAGGGCAGCCATGGCAGGAGGGGGCTGGGGGCACCCAGAAATCAGTGAGGGGTCAGAACAACATCCGGCAGCAGAGCCGTGAGAAATGGACAGAGAGGCCCATACAGGCAGCTCGTTGTCTGGAACCTTCTGAACCTGTCTCCCGGGGCTCAAACGGAGGGAGCGTGCTTGGGGCCAAGCACAGGCTGCGTGGACTGAGCAGCGTTCCCGGGCCAGGCCAGGGGTGGGTGGGGACTGGGCAGCAAATACTCACAAATGCTGACTGTACTGGGACACTCTCCAGACATCCTGGGGGAAACAGAAAGGCCAGGAGAGGGTCAGCGGTCCCGGGAGCCCAAGTGGAACCCTCTCTCTCCCTCGGCCTTTACACTGGGCCGCTCAGTGGGTCCAGATGACAAGACCAGGAGACACGTGAAGTCCATGCGTATGGCTGTGCCGGGTCCTAAAGCCAGCGCTGCAGAGGAGGCAGAGCTGCCAGAGGCTGTGCCACCCCCATCCTCCCTTGCCTGCCCTCTCCCCGTCTGGGGCAGTGACCCTGCCCCAGTGGGCGCAAGCCCAGGACCAGACAGAGCTGCCCAGCGTCTGCCCACTTGCTCTCTTTCTCGTGCCTCCCCCAAGGACAGAGATAATGGATTTTTTTCCAAAGCTTCCACTGGTGGTGAAATCTGGGGGTGGACGGGGAAGCTTCATTCTTTACTGGGCTGCCAGCCACCATAAGGATTAACAAGGGTGGTGCCAACCAAGGCGAGGAGCGGCAGAGGCAGCGGACACAGTGGGCGGGTCTTCCCTGGGATGAGTCGGGAGCCCTCTCCCTGGTTCCCCTCATCCCCTGCGCTGGCCCAGAGCAGAGTGCTCGGGCTGTCCCACAGAGTAAGCCTGGGAAGCCCTATCATCGGGGTAGGAGGGGCCACCACCTGCTCTCCTCGCCCTCCAGCAGCTTGCGGTAGGTGGCGATCTCCACGTCCAGGGCCAGCTTGACGTTCATCAGCTCCTGGTAGTCACGCAGCAGCCGCGCCAGGTCCTCCTTGGCCTGGTGCAAAGCCACGTCCAGATCCCCAAGTTTCTTCTTTGCATCCTTGAGTGCCAGCTCCCCATGCTGCTCTGCCTCTGCAATGGCCGTCTGTAGCTGCTGATACTGCCCAGGGGTGAAAGTTGTTAGAAATAACTCCCAGTCATCCCATCATCTCTCTACACTCAAACCAGACATCACCATTCCCATGCCCCTGCCCCCAACCAACTGGGAAAGAAAGAACAAAGAAATATTCATCTGAGAGAAGAGATGCTATTACACAAGTAGGACCATGTAGCACCACTGGGAAAGTCCTTACTGAAGTCTAACCTCAATCCCTCCTGCTGCAGCTCAGCCCAGTGCCCAGAAGAGACAAAATAAGTAGTATAACCTCTCTACTAACCAAATGCTTCACTCTGATCTAGACAAGAATCCACATGCCCTAGATGGAGTCAGCATCTGTAACCTGGACCCTTGAACCCTCCACTTCCTGCTCTGCCCTCCTGGAGATGGAATGGGCTCCTTGAAGGAGGTATTCCCACCTGCTCTACCACTTATATGCTGCGTGACCTTGGACAATACCACCCTCCAGGCCTCAGTTCCCTCCCCTGTAAAAGGAGCCTGTTGGATCTTGATGGTCCAGCATATGAGTGTGTCCCACCCACCAGGAGAAGAGCAGGTCTTGCCCTCTGGCCCTGCCAATACCCAGGCCTGACCCCCAGGCCCCTAGGACAAAGCCCACCTGCTTCTTGGCTGCATCCGCTTCACCCTGCAGCCTCTGAATAGTGCGGGTGAGCTCAGCAATCTCATTCTTGGTGTCCCGCAGGTTGTCCCCATGCTTCCCAGCCGTCACCTGCAGCTCCTCATACTGGAGGCAAAAGAAGTGGCAGTGAGTTTTCAGACAGCCCTGGGCCACATGGGTAGCCACTGGCCCAGAGCCCACCCTCACAGCTGGAGGCCCTTATGTAGGCCGAGTGTAACCAGTCCCCAGGGCTCCAAGGGTCTCAGTGGCCCAGGCCTCTCACAATGGGGGAAGTTCTGTGTCCAGCCCCAGCCCCACACCGGAGCCAGTATTCGTCTCACCTTAGTCTGGTACCAGGCCTCAGACTCAGCCCGGCTCCTCTGGGCAATCAGCTCATACTGGGCCTTGACCTCAGCAATGATGCTGTCCAGATCCAGGTTGCGGTTGTTGTCCATGGAGAGCACCACATTGGTGTCAGACACATGGGTCTGCACTTGGCTCAGCTCCTGAAGCAACAGAGACAGCTGCCACCAGCGCCCCTGCCCCAGGCCCCAGGTGCCTAGGGCACAGGCACAACTGCAAGGAAAGGCCTCAGTGTCCCCAGCTGTGAAAAGAGGCTCCTCAGCCTCCCCTTCCTACAGGCTCCATTTATTTTTGTGCATTTGTAGGCCTCCAAGAGATTAAAGAGGGAGAAAGGGGATTTGCACCTACTGTGCCAGCACCCTCACTTAGCCCTGTGGTCCTCAGGACACTCTGTGGGGCAGGCAGGCCCACCGCTGGCCCACGGGTGCGTTTGTGCAAATTAGGAAAAGTCACCACTAGGCCAAGCAGCCTGTCCAGTGCCAGCCAGCCACCCGCACCATCACCCCACGGTCCTGACCAGAGGCCAGAGAGAAAAGAGGCTAGGAGAGGAGACATGTTACATCTGAGGACACCAGGGAAGAGAGTGGGGCCCAGCCTGGAACCAGTCAGTTCAGCAGCAAAGCCCAAGAGGTTTCCTGTAGAACACACTGATAGGTATAGACTGTGCCATGTTCCTGGGCCCTCCCTGTGTTCCTAGGCCCATGGCTTTCACGCATGAACAGGTGTTTAAAGATGCCGTGGGTGGCAGGCTAGGTGACAGGGAGTGGAGTGGCCTTGGGACCCGCTGTGTCGTGGATCAGGACTGTGCTGGCTCCCACTGGGGCCCTGCCTCCGTCTCTCCCATGGTCCTTCCTGCCTTGGCGCCAACACATTGCCCTGAGCCCGGCTCTGACAAATCACTCATCCACTCGGCGCTCCTCAGAGACTGCCTCTGAAAGTCAGCGCCTTCCACATCCTGCCTTGTGTCCAGCCTGTCTCACACACTGGCCCTTCGCGGCAGCCCGGGTGATCGCAACAGACAGAGGGGGAGCGTCAGAGCAACGCCCCTCGCTGACCAAGCGTCGTGTGGCTCGGCCCGAGTCAGGCCCTTGGCAGGCACTAACTCATTACCTGCAAGTGACTGGCCCCACATCCCAAACCACCAGGTGAGGAGGCCAGTCTCAAATCTCGGCAGTCTGACACGAGCACCTGAGATGACAAGACTAAAGTAGAGATAGACAGAAATAAAGAGAAAAGACGGAGAGAGATCCCAGAGCCAAGACCACTACCCATACTGACATTGAGTTAGATTGTTAAAGTAGATGGTCTTGTAAAAGGTGAAATGGTTGGGGGCAGGGGGTAGCCAAGCACTAAAACGTGTGGTCTGGGGAAAGGTCTGAGTTTTAGAGACAGGCAAGCCTGAGGGCAAGTGCACAAACTGACGTTCGCTACCTGTGGGCTGAGGTAGCCACTGAGCCCTGCGAGGCTTCAGTTCCCTCCCCTATACAGTGGCCCTGATAACACCTCCCTCACGCAGCTGCTGTGAGGACTAAGGTCCAGAGATGGCCCACGGCAGGCGCTCGGTGAAAGGCACTCTTACTGCTCAGACTAGCCAGGTGCGGGGGCCAGAGAGGCAGAGTGGTACTGCTGGAGGAGGGGCGGGGACCCACCAACCCCCGGGCCAGAGGGAGGCCACAGAGGCTGCTCTCCTGCCCTCTGAGGCCCCAGTGATGGGTGGCTCACCCTGGATTTCCTTGAGATCTGGCTTGGCCAAAACCAGACCATGAAACCAACTACTGAATGCCACATTGGCATTCATGACCAGCAAGCCCATGAGGCACCCGGGAACGACGGCACCAGCCTTCATTCTTACCCCGGGAGGCACTGCCAGGCCATGAGAAGCTTTGACAGGCCTGGCGGGGTCCACGCTCTCCTTCCCTTCCCGCCTCTGCACCCCACACAGCTGATGCCCAGCCCACCAAACACCAGCTGGTCCCCAAACACACTGTGCTCTGTCACACCTCCGTGGCACTGCACAGGCGGGGCCCCTGGATGGAGGGCCCTTCCCGCTTCTCCTTTGGAAGTCTGGCCCTTCCCTCAAGATCTGAGTCAAATGTCATCTCCTCTGAAGGCTCCCCCAGCCCTCCCAGCCTCCCCGTGTGCCACTGCACCTTGTGCCTGTCCCCAACATGGCTCACATCACTTGATACCCCAGCTCCCTGAGAGCAGGGACTTCGTTGTTTTGTAAGAAGGTACTCGGTAAGTATGTGTTAAATGTACAAGGCATAGCAAAGAAAAGGAATGCTGGGTGTGCCTGCCGTGTGCCTTACACAGTAGGAAAGCCCATTCCTAAACATCCAGGGAAGGGGGAAGAGAGAATAGAACCCAAGAGGGGACAAGGAAGCCCTAAACCATGAATGACCCTCAATAATCCCACTAAAGGAACTGGGGAAGCACCTAAAACTCAGCACAGTGCCCAGGACACTTCCCAGCAAGCTCCGCCCAGACAGACCAGGCAGGGATGTGGACAGGGAGCAGGGCGGTCGAGGATGCGCCGGGGCAATGCTAAGGTCAGAGGACAGAGGCTGTCAGACGAACTCTAGACAAGAACAAGGGAGGTGGCATTGGGCTCGTCCCTATGGAAGACCCAGGAAAGGCCAACAGCTCAACTGCTTTGTCATTTGCCTCCCTCCCATCAAGGGGAAGAGTCATCAGCTGGAAAGGGCAGGAAAAATGCTTGGGAGGAAATGGGAACCCGAGACAGACGCCGAGACTAGGAGAGGCCTTGGCCTTAGGGGAGCAGCACACCCACACCCTCAGAGGCTCTTGGGGGGCACCCTGCTGGTCCTTGAGAAGTATGGAGGGGAGGAGAGGTTCCAGAGCCCCAAACACAGAAAATAGCCTGACTTTCAAAGGGGAGATATTTAGAATTCTCCAAATTAAGCTTGATATCAACCTTCTACAAACGTGTAGAATGAATGTGTTTAGGAGGCATGAAGCCATCGAGAGCTCCGTAAGGAAAAGTCATACCAAAGGGTTTCATTTTCTTTTGTGATTATATTATGAAACTGCTAAAGGCCTGCTGTGGACATTGTTTGACCAGGCCTTTCACGGCATTCTTGAAAATAAGACAGAAAAACGTACGTAAGCATAGGCCGATTTTCCCTGCCCGTTGGCATCTCACCATTTCATAGATCTGCTGCAGGAAGTCAATCTCCTGGGTCAAGGTATCCACTTTGCCTTGCAGATCCACTCGGCCCATGTACGCAGCATCCACATCCTGAGGGGGAGGGAGAGAGCAAGGCAGATGCTCGGCCCTCAGGGATCTCACCTCTCTCCAAGTCGGCCAGCACCTTGGCAGCCAAGGGACCCCCCTGACTCCCTGCCACCCTGCTCACCTTCTTGAGCACCACAAACTCGTTCTCTGCACCAGTGCGCTTGTTGATTTCATCCTCGTACCTGTTACACACAGAAGACTCAGGCCAGGCCCAGTCCAGTCCTGCCTTTTAGGGCCTGGAGAAGGCTTGATGGGTCCTCCACTGGCCAAGAACACCTTTGGGGAGCAGTTCTTTAATGCGGCCAACCAGTGAAGAAACTTGGGGTACTGCCGTTACTTAAACATTCTTCTCTCTCCCCACCTCCTTTTGGGGAAAGAACACAGAATGTGCGCAACAATATGGCACTCGAGAGCCACCATGTCTTTGGATCTGAGCCTTGAGGCGGCTTTGGGAACCAGTGAAGATGTGCCAACAGTCACTAACCTTTGCATTCACTTTCAACAACAGGACATCACTGAGCTAACTCCTCCCCAACCACTTTTACTGAGACTTTAAGGTGTAGAAATTGCCAATGTCAAGTTATGGGAAAAGTTACAAAAAATTGTGCCTTAAAGTTATAAATATACGTATCAACCAATCAGAATATGTGAACCTAATTTGGAGCTTGATTCAAACAAACTGTAATTTTAAAATTTGTGACATTTATGGGATGACTGGAAATTCAAAACTTACTGGATATTTGATGGTATTGAGGAATTATTGTTTTGAAAGTTTTAGGTGTGATTATGGCATTGTATTTATATTTGATTAAGTCAATTTATGTGCATGAACTATGTACATATATCTAGAGAAATATCTGTGAATGAAATGATAGGATTGCGTGATTTGCTTCAAGGCCACAAGGGAGGAAGGGAAGTGAGGAGGGGTGGAGATGAAACAAGACTGGCCGTGAGCTAATCACTATTAGAGCCGGGACATGATAACGTGGGTGTTTATTATACTGTTCTCCCTACTTTATAATAAAGACTTCCTAAAACTACAAATAATACATAAACAAGTGCCAATTCTCCAGATGGCAGCAAGTCCTAGACCTCAGTACCCAAGGGCACCAGCTCTGTCTGAGGTGGCCTTCTCTGGGGATATGTCCCATGCTGCCCCCTCCCTGTCCCCACATGTCCCCAGCCTGTCCAGCTCTCCTCACTTGCTCTTTAGGTCCTCAAGGAGATCCTGAACGTTCCTCAGCTCCGAGTCCAGCCTCCCCCGCTCGTTCTGGAGTTTGCCAAGTACGTTCCGCAGGTTGCTCAGGTAGGACTCAAAGAGGGGCTCCAGGTTCCTCCTGGTGCTACCTGAGTTCTGGCCCTGCTCCTGCAGCAGTGCCCACTTGGTCTCCAGCACCTTGTTCTGCTGCTCCAGGAACCGCACCTGGGCCAGAACAAAAAGGGTGGGCTGAAGTCACCCCCAGCCACAGGAGGGACCAACACTGGACCCTCCCATCCCAGGGCATCACGGGGCTGTGCAGCAGCGCCCACACCTTGCTGAGGGCAGGCATTCCTGAGGAGAGCAATCTTTGCTGGAAATGACAGTCCAATCTGATAAAAAGGACTCTAGAAAGTTAACATAGAAGCCCCAGCTCAGTCATTTACTGCATGTTGACCTTGGTCACTTCTCTTCTCTCTGGGTCTCCCCTTCTCACCTGTCCTGGATAAGCTAGACTGGATCAATGTTTCTGAATTCTAATTCTGCATCAAAGTCCACTGTTAAAAATGCAGACGCGGGCTGGGCATGGTGGCTCATGCCTGTAATCCTAGCACTCTGGGAAGCTGAGGCGAGAGGATTGCTTGAGCTCAGGAGTTCGAGACCAGGCTGAACAAGAGCGAGACCCTGTCTCTACTAAAAATAGAAAAAGTTAGCCAGGCATGGTCGTGTGTGCCTGTAGTCCCAGCTACTTGGGTGGCTGAGGCAGGAGGATCACTTGAGCCCAGGAGTTTAGGGTTGCTGTGAGCTAGGCTGATGCCACAGCACTCTAGCCTGTGTGTCAAAGAGAAACTTTGTTTCAAAGAAAAAATACAGATGCATACACACACAGGTACACACACACACACACACACACACACACACACACTAAGAAAGAGAGAGAAAAAAGTAAACGTGGCAAAATGTTTAAAATGTCAAAAAATCTTCCTAGGTGAAAGAGTATACAAAAGTATGCTATACTATTCTTGCTACTTTTCTGTAAATTCAACATTTTTTCCCAAAAAACGATTATCTTAAAAATACTGATGCCCAGACCCTACCTCTATAGACTGAGAAGGATGCTCACAGTGTGGGTTTAACAGGCCCCGGGGGGTTCTTTGTCCAGCCAGGGTTCCAGGACAACCTCTCAGACACCCAGCTCTCAGGCGTGATCGTGAGAGCCTGAGAACAGTTTGTTTGTTTGACCTCTGGGACAGTTCCACAGAAGAACCAAAAGTCACTAGGGGAGAGGGTGAGGAGGTGGGCGAGACAGCTTGCTTCACCCTGTGCCGCCTGGTCTCTCCAGGTCCCACCTCCACGGCACCGAGGGCCCACAGCCACACGGCCTGGGAACAACATGCAGCAGGTGCACCTGCCATGAGCAGTGACAACACCTATTGGTGCCAAGGACCATGGGGTCTGGGAACCTGGGTCCCAGTCCCACCTTTGCCTCCAACGACCTGTAGGATCCTGGGCAAACCACTTGACCTCTCCAGACCTCAGCTTTCTCACCTCAGAAATGGGCACAATATCACCTACTCTGATCCCTCATGGGACCACTGTAGGTATCACACGAGAAGGGGGAAGTGAATGTTCTTTAGAAAAGCACACATCACTGAACCAAGGTTGGGTCGTCCACCAGAGCTTTCCCCGCTGCCTGGACTCAGGGCCCAGGTGGACGATGCCAGCAAAATGGACAAGGCAACGCCAGGGAGCAGCATGAGAGCTGCCCTCATCCACCTGGAGGCAAGGGAAGGACTCGGGACACTTTGACCTGCAGCAGGTCAAACCCCACACCCCCAGGCAGGGTGATCTGGTGACCGCCCTCCTCATCATCTATCCCAAACGGAGCTTCTTGGCTCAAACAGGGAGGAGGAAAAGGAGAAGCAAAAGAGAGACTTCCCCGAGGACCCTCCCCAGCTGCATTCCGATCACTCGTGTCCTTAGGCCTCCTCCAAGCTGAAAGAACAGGACAGATGAGTCCCCGTGCCCTCAGCCTTGGACAACTTGTTTGACTCCTGAACCATAGTTTCCTCCACTGTAAATTGATGAAAGACAATGAGGGCTGTCCCACCAAGAGGAGCAGTGAGGACAATCCATTTTTAATTGTGAGCTGAGGCTGCTGTGTAGCCGTATTAATGACAGCGGTAGGAAAGCTCCAACACAGGCAAGGTGGGCTTGGCCAAGAGGCCTCATGAGTAGACCGGAGATTCACCTGCATGGTCCCAGTAAAGACCCAGGAGACCGTCTTCACCATCCACCTGCCGGCATCCCAGGCTCAGGCCAGGAGAGCTCTGAAGTCACTCCAGCAAGCCCGCACCCCGCCGCACACAGGCTAGGACAGCCCCTGCCCAGCCCGCTGTCTCTTAGAGGCCCTGCTTCTACTCCAAGGCCCCCACCTCCTTCCACCTTGGCCCACCTTGTCGATGAAGGAGGCAAACTTGTTGTTGAGGGTCTTGATCTGCTCCCGCTCCTGGGTGCGCACCCGCTGGATCTCTGGGTCTATCTCCACGTTGAGGGGGGTTAGCAGGCTCTGGTTGATGGTGACCTCCTGGATCCCTCCAGGAGGACAGACAGGCCCGACCGTCTGCCTGCCAGCCCCCAGGCCCGCAAATGCCCCGCTGCCAAAGCCGAAGCCTCCCAGACCCCGCCCGGAGGAGGCCGCTCCAGCCACACTGACCGAGATGCTCCTGTTGCCCCCCAAGTTATAGAGGCTCCGGCTGCCAAAGCCACCCATGCTGGGGCCACGGCGGGTCCCTCCACCACTGCCACTGCTCCGGGACACTGTCACCGAGCTGAAGCTGGTGCGGGCCCCGGACCCGCCCCCTCCGCTGGCAGAGTTGGAGCTGAAGCCCCCTTTGGTGGTGTATGTTTGCCGAGACCTGGAGGACATCATGGCTGTAAGAGGGGCCGGACAGCGGGCTGAGAGCCGGGAGGGAACGCAGTGCAGTGCTGGGCCGCAGATGGGCTTTTATTCTTTTCCCAACTGCCCTGGCTCCGAGGCCCCACAGATGCTCCTGCCCCATCGCCCCAGGAGGAGAGGAGGGGCCCTGTGGGCTGAGGAGTGCCCTCTCCCCCAGCAGGAGGAGGAGCCACTCCCAGTTATCACCTGTGCTCCAGAGCCGGGGCGGGATGCCACCTTCTCCCCCCTCGGGCTCTCCTCACTTGGAACAGGATGACAGGGCTCCCACATTCGCCCCCACCACCCAAGGGCTGACTTGGTCTCCTCCCACCCAGCCCTGGTGGCCGTGTAAATGGGGCTCTGTTCTGCAGGGTTCATCCCAGGCCCTGTGGTAAGGCTAGCCCAGGGCCCCAGGCTGTGCAGGTGGGCAGGGAAGGCGCATTGAGCAATGGGCTGCTGGAGAGAGTGCCCAGGCCTGCTCCTGTCCCACCCTCCAGCCCACAGCCTCACTGCTCCTCAGCCCAGGGTGGGGGGCGCAGGCAGCAGGGGACAGTGGAGGTAATCTGCGCTCTTGCCATACACTGGCAGGCAGTCCCTGTGCAGGACAAAGTGGATCCAAGGACAGAAAGAGGGTCCCTGCCACCAGTCAGGCCCAGGCACTTGCTACTTGGGCAGGGCTCTGCAGCCTGGGGCCCAGAACACTCTTCTGCAGGTTGAAGAGAGGCCAGGGGGCTTCACCCATCACCTGAGACCCCTGACCCTCTGCCCCATGGCAGAGCCTCCTGCAGGGGCCCCACCGCTTTAGAGGGAGCTGGAGGTGGATAGAGGACACACCCCATCCTGGGTGGAGATAGGTACAGATCCAAGAAGCAGGTGTTCAACAAAAGCCCATCATTCCCATCTTCCCCTGCCCACCAGGAGCCCAGATGTTTGGTTCGGAAGGGAGAGGTACTCCTCTAATCACTTCACGTAGTCCCCCCACTCCCTACCCACCGCAGGCTGCCGGGGCAAAACACAGTCCCCGGCAAAGACCTCAGCAAAGACAGAGAGACTTCGGACGTCAGGGCTGAGGGGATTGGGAAGGTAACTTTAGAGACTGACCCTCCTCACCCCCTTCATCTCTCAGCAAGAAAAGGAGCCGAGAGGACAGAGACTTGCCCGCCCGAGGGAAGGAGCAAGGACAGCCCTTGCCGGGCTCCGCACACCCTGCCAGGCTGGAGCTGGGCCAATTTGATTCACCAGCCAGGCTCCCCACAGAGAGGGCGTGGGACCACCACAGCTGGGGCAGAGCCCACTCCAGGCCAGAGGAGGCTGCGGGACCTTTCCCCAGGCCCCTGGGAGGCTATGAGTGGCTCCCACAGGGGTGGGGTAAGAGCACTTGCAGAACTCATCCCTCAAAACCTAACAGGACATTTTACACTCTGCTTGGAGTTAAGATACAAGCATTTGGGGGAGCTGGACTGAGAGACATAGCTCCACTCTACTGTGTGTCCTCAGGCAACTCTCAACCACTCTGGGCATCATTTCCTCTACCTATAAGCAGTGCCTGCCACAAAGTCCTTTGGAAAAGCAATGGCGTGTGATCCCTGGACTGAGCTTCACTTCCTGCTGAACTTTGTCTCCTTGCCCCGGGCTGTGATCACTTTCTCAGCCTCTCTTATCTCTCCCCAGGCAGCGTGGGACGTGGGACGGGGAGGTTGAGTGGGCCAACCTCCAGGATGCAGCGGGGGGCAAGGGAGTGATGTCAGCCCTCTGAGTCACAGCACGGCCGGGGTGGTGGGAGTGGGCGCCAGTCGGTAAACACGAATTCCACCCCACCCCAGAGCCTGACATTCACTCACACCAGTCACTCACACGTAGCCACCAAGCACGCTGTCTGTGCCAGGTTTTGTGCTGGGCGCTGGTGACAGACGCACAGGTAGCCCAGGGCCCGCTCTCACGGAGTTCACAGTTGCTGCTTGGAGACAACCTCCCTCCCACCCAGGCAGGGCCGTTCGCCAGTCTCGGTGCAGATGGGGAGTGGGAGGCCACTTTGGCTCCTCCAGCCCTTATCTCCACTCCACTTTCGTACAAGACATCCACGCTCAGATCTTCTTTCTGCCACCCAAGGAAGAGCAGTTTTCTCCCCTTGCACCCTCCACAGAGAGGGAGAGCTGCCCCCTGCTGCTGCTCTTTCCCAAATGGCTCCATCTCTGGAGACTGTCACCTGCCCAGAGTCCCTCCCTGCCAGCATGGCACAAGAGCAGAGAGGATTGAAGGCTGCTGCTGCCAAGACAGCTGATAATGTCAACTGAGCACCTAACGTGCACCAGGCTGGGTCTGAGCAAAGGAAAGACGCAGGTGCCAGGAGTCCCCATGGAGAGGAGGGCTTTCCACATTGATGGTAATCATTTCTGCAGTCAGCACGAATTGAGCATGTGCCATGTGGCCAGCAGTGGCCTAAGCGCTTCCTGGGCCATCTCATGCTGAGTTTCCACGCTGCTGGCACTGCACGGCCTCCTCCCTGCTCCGTTCCCTTCCTCCTCTGACTTGGCTACTCCCTTGCTCTCTGGCTTCCCGTCGGGTTGACCCAAGGGAGACATCAGCAGGAGGTCAGCAGGTATCTCTTCCCAGCTGCCTCCCTGCCCCAGACCACTCAAGACACCCTCTCGGGCAGTGGCTGCAACTGGACCCCCAACTGTGATTATAGCTTCTTCCACGTGACCCCTCCTCCACAGTGCCAGCAACTCTATTATCTGGTCACTCCACCATTCTCTCATTCTTCAGCTCTGTGTAAGGTGACCAGCTCGCCCTGGTTTTCCCAGGACTGCCTGGTTTCAGCACTGAAAGTCCCCTCGGTCCTGGATAAACCAAGAGGACTGGCCATCCTAGCTCCAGGGTGGGGACAGCTTCCTGCCAGGGCCAGTCTCTGGCCTCTCCAGCCTCTGTTTCCTCAGCCCCGCCCCCACCTCTGAACCAAATCCTTTCATTTTTAGGGGGGAAGGGGAAACTTCCCCTTTACCCTCAAAAGGTTTACTGAAAAATCAACTCACAGAAAGGCAGATTAATAGAAGAAAGGGCATACAATTTTATTACTACTCTGTACATGAGGAGAACCACAGAGTCGCCCAATATCCCAGTGGGGTACAAAGACCTATGTATCCTACCTCTTAGGGGCAAAGGGGATGGGGAATTGTGGATGATTGTAGGGGGATAGTAAATGATTTTTAGGGGAATTTAATGGGCTTGAGGAACGTACAATGGTCTAGGACAAAATCTTTTGGGCCTGCAGAGTGGACAATGGTTTGTGACAAAAATCTATCCAGATTTGTTGACAAACTTTAGTCTTCCTTTCTGTGATGTGGGTTCAGTTCATGAATACTCAGGTAAGGGACCAGAAGTAATTGTTTTACTGTTTTCTTCTTTGGTAGGTCGGGACTTCAGGCAGATGGGGGAACTTCGGCCTGTGTTTTGGGAGAGGTAGAAGACTGGGAGATTGAGAGCTGGGTGGGGGAGACAATTGTTCTCCTTGCTCGGTCTTTCTGGTCTTTATGTAGATAAGGGGAAAGTCTCTTCTAGTGTCTGTTGATCTCTAGGGGCCTTTAGTTCAAAATACTTTTTTTTTTTTTTGAGACAGGGTCTCACTCTGTTGCCAGGGCTAGCGTGCCATGGTGTCATCCTAGCTCACAGCAACCTCAAACTCCTGGGCTCAAGCGATCCTCCTGTCTCAGCCTCCCGAGTAGCGGGGACTACAGGCAAGCGCCACCAGGCCCGGCTAATTTTTCTATTTTTAGTAGAAACGGGATCTCACTCTTGCTCAGGCTGGTCTCGAACTCCTGACCTCTAGCAATCCCCCCGCCTTGGCCTCCCAGAGTGCCAGGATTACAGGCGCGAAATACTGTTTGTACTAGGGAGCCGTATTCCCTACACGCCTTCACATTAAAGTCCATTTAGCTCTCTCAGGCTTTTGCTTCCAAGATGACAAAGAAAAGGAACAATGGTGGTGCCAAAAAGGGGCGGATGCCATAAGCATCCTATTCACCACACAAACTGCACCCTAGATGAGCCCAAGGACAAGACGACAAAGAAGTTCATCATTCGAACCATAGCAGAGGCCACAGCCATCAGGGACATTTCCAAGGCCAGGCTCTTCGACATCCGTGTGCTTTCCAAGCTGCATGGGAAACCATATTACCACGTGAGCTGTGCTCCTCACAGCAGGGCGTTTAGGAATCGATCTCATGACGCCTGCAAAGACCCCACACTGCCACCCCAATTTAGGCCTGTGGTGCTGCTCCATGGCCTCCGCCAAAGCCCATGCAAGGGGCTGAGTCCCCGAGCACCAAAGAAAGGCTATCCTCTGGGAAAAGAATAAAATGGAAATTATGCCATCTTTTAAAGTCAATTTAATTGGGCTACTTTGGGTGAATTTAGTTTCCTTCTGCATCCTGAATGGCACAATCCTGTGAGGGAAGTATTGTTATTAATCTCTTTTTACAGATGAGGAAACTGAGGCACAGAGAGGTTCAGCCACTTGGTCAGAGCCACACCGGCAGAGCTGGGACTCGAGCTCAAGAAAGAGCTCACGTTCTCACCCACCAGAGCTTCCTTCACACAAGGCTCGAGAGCCTTCTTCTTGGATCATTGTGATGGAGTGACCCAGCCCCCAAAGCAAGGAGAGGAATGACACAACTTCCTGCAGCCCAGGCTATGGAGCTGGGAGTGAGCCACATCCCTACCTGGGTCTGCCAAGGCAGAAGGGGAAGGAACAGCCACAAGAGCCCACACGCTGCTGGGGCGGGTGGGAGAGGTGACCTGCCCAGCCCTCCCTGGCACCCAGCCCTGACTCCCACACTCTTGGCTTCCTACAGAGCTTCCTGAAGGAGAGGAAGGAGACGTTTCCAGCCTTGTATTCAGACTGGCCTGGGGATGGGATGGGAGCTGAGGGGTAGGGGACAGTTTCAGCCCGAAGACACAAGCTGAGCCGCGCATCCCCTTCCCGGGTGCGGGGAAAGGACCTGCCCAGAG